GTTTTCAGGTGCCCTATGGCCCCAAACTCGAGAAACATTAGGAGCCATGCACGTGACTGTGGCTACCAGCTCTGTAACAGTATGGAGAACCTTCATGCCTTATTTATTTATAATGGAAAGCAGTTGTCTAATAAAATAAAATAAATAAAAATGAACAACAACAGCAACAAAAGCAGCATTGTTGATTTTCTCGGAGCATTCGCCACCCCATTAATTCAACATTTGTAGCAGGGGATATCTGAAGCAATGCTGGTTTAAGCCAGCCAATGTTTACTCTGCAGTCACCCGGTTGCTGCAGAGGTGTGGGAGGAGGATCGCCTTCACTGTCCGTTTTAAACAGTCCTGTGTGAATCAGCATCACAGTTAAGTGTACAGCAGATTAATTATATTTTCAAATGCTTTATTCTCTCCTCGAATAAAAAGAAACACCAGTACTCTCAAAGCCGAGACTTTCTTTACAGCTCTTTTTACTTCTAAGAACAGCAGAAGAGTTATTTCTTTGATTTTCATGTACGATTTGGGTCAAGAAAATGCTTCAGGCTCCTTTGCAGAAAGCAGAGAGAATATGCCGAACTATACTGCTGCATTATTTATATAACATACATTTTATGCACTTGGACTACTAACATTTGCCACACGATAAAAACCCTTCTTTTGTCAGCTCTGAAGTCTCTGTAAAACCGCACAATTTCTAAGCTTGTAATTCAAATGCTATTTTTGTTTTCGTCTGTCTTGAAAGCCATACATCCAAAAAATGACTGATGTAAGTAACACAATATTAGTATTTGGCTCAACAAAGGAACAGCTGCCGTATATCAGCAGTTCGTTCAGCAAAGTGCTGAGGGCATTTTTTTCTGCATCCAAAAATATTAGTGGCCATATATACACGTCCTGATGACTGTGTGAGTCAGTCACTTGATTTTTTTCTTAAGTGAGGCTTTCAGTGATCAAAGGAAGAAAAAATAAGCATCTTCTGCCCTTTTATCTCACCTTCTAGCTAAACTTTTCAAATTGCTTTGAAAACACCAAGGAAAACTACACAACTCCATTAAGAGGCAAGAGGAGAGTACTAAACAACCACACTGCTCACCACGAAACTGGTCTGACAGAGAGCAGCAGCTATTTAATAGCACACCCCCATGATTCAGGACAGAAAAAAAAATACTGTGTGCAATTAACATGGATGAGAAAAAAGTACGATATAAATGGAAATAACGACTCATTTCAGAATTTGGCAAAACCAATGACCCTATTCAGATCACCCCGTTAAGATCAACACGAGCACAGCTTGTCGAGACTTCAGTTTTATGCTGAATTTGAAAGATGACATTTAGACAAGTGCGTTTCCACCAGACCTAGTCGGGCTTCTTACTTTGCCGCCAGTTTGAACAATCCTTCAGAAACGCAGCCGTCATGACAAATAGGGATGGACCACTTGAAGCACAAATTCAGTGGTTTTACAGAGCTCGAACTCTCAGGGGGAAGGAGATTTCCTGATTCAGCAGTCTTCCCTCTCTCACAGGAGCTGAGACTACCTGGAAGGTCCCTCAAAGTCCCGACTTGCCCCTACCTTAACGGCTTGCGCCCTCACTCAGACAAGGAGCGACCGGCTCCTTGGACACATCAGGGACGGCTCCTCGCAGCTCCTTCTCACCAGGGACCACCATCACCAAACGGGCTGAGCTTGCTTTCTAAGCCAGCATCAGCATTGAGGCAATTCGTATCTCCAGCTTAAATGTCAAAAGCTTGGCTCTCCTTGGGCCACGCCAAAGTAAGACGTTGTCATCCCAAGCCCTGCCTGCCAGGGAGAGCTGTCTCCAACCACCCGAGCGGAGGTCAGTCTGCTTTTCACCAAGGCTCTTTGGATGTCTGCATCAGCCAACACAGTGTGGGAACGAAGCAAAACCAGAGAAACTCCTTTTAGTTGGGTCTGGCTTCAACTGCGTGACCTTCAAGCTCCTTTCCCAGCCCCTCTGTGCACTGCGCAACGACACCCTCCTTGGTGTGCCTTACCAGCACAGTAACAACGCAGACGTGTTTGACAACAGTTGGCAAAATGAGTCATCCTGCTTTGGACATTTTACCGTCCCTCTGGCTACAAATCACAAACGTTTACCTGTTCCCTGTTAGAAATTAAGGTCACCAGATGGCATGGTTTGTCTCTGACAGTTCTGGGTTTTTTCCTTAAAGCATTCTGTTTTCAGTCAAGTTTGGACAGGGGAAGCAGAGCAGAACCACCCCAGGACGCAGAGATTCAATTAAAGCAAAGCGCAGAGCCCTCCTTGGCCCCCCAGCACTGCTCAGCATCAGTCAGGGCAGACCGACCACCAACATTTGGGACCTGCTCCTCTCCCGAGGACCGAGTTTCCTGATTTGGCGCTGATTATCTAGATGAGACACAGCTCAGATCCTCAATCAGACGCTGCCTTTATATCAGCTTCGAAACACCCATTTTGACTTCACCCACAGTTTTAAACAAAAGATCGTCGGCTCCTGTCAAAACAGCAGAGCTAATGACAGCCCCATCCCTGCCTGCGCGTTTTCCTGCTGCCAGAAATAGCAATCCCTGCCCCTCTCGAACACACACCTTTCTCGTCAAGCCGACGTGACAGCTCCAACAGGAGCAAGAGCTGAAGGATTTCCACAAGTTCTTCACCCCCCTGCGTCCCCCTTCCACCTCGGCATCTCTCTTACAGACCTGGAAACACACATGTGCTGCTGAATCAGCCTTCGTTAAAAAAATACACACACACACACTTTTTATATATATATAAAAAACTTTCTAGCGCTCCTGAGCAGATAAAAATCTGAAAGCTGAAGCATCCCAGGTGCAAAAACTGGACAGTAAATAAAAAATGCTGGGTGTATTTTCACTTTTACGCCCGGCCATCATCCGCTCAGCTCGCGAAGGCGCGGGGTGCAGGCGGGAGCACACT